ATTTTTTGGTTTTTTATAGTTTTCTTCTTTTTTTGGTTTTTTTGATAAAAATGGGGAAACAAGCTCAAAAGATAATCAACTCCTCCAACAAAGGTAACCCGAGAAACACCGCCAAGAACCCGAAACGAAATTAAAAAGAGAACAAACACAAGTCAAACATTACACGTATAATAGGCACGTAGACAATATATTACATAACTTACGCACTAAAAAATAGAATAGAACTCAAAGGCTCGAGTTGATTCATATCCTTGACCACATATAGAGGATTGTCAACTCTCTATAAGGCCCGGAGTCAAAGATTCAAAGGCCTTTTGGTTACTTTGAACCCCCACTCACCTCAAGCGCTCAAATAATGATTCCAAAAGATGAAAAAGTTTATAAAAGAGCGAATCTTTCTTTCATTCTAACTCCCATGCACAAAGTATTCATGAAGAACATTTGATACACTTTAATAAACTTTAACGTCTAATGATGAAAATATTTTGCAGGTCTCCTTGAATAACTCAAGCAAAAGAATTGTAATCTATTCACATTAGAAAACATTACATATTTTCAAAAACTTAAAAATTGTTTTTGTGCTTAAACAACCTTAAATTTTATGAAAATCAACACAAAACAAACGAACAACATAACAATCACTTCATAACGAATCTTAAGGAAAATGTCCAACTTATGTGGCTAAGAAGTCCAAAATCCTTAAAATTTTACAAAACACATAGCACAATGAAGAATCACGTATGAATTCGGAAATCATTTAACTATAATATGGAGCTAAAATAGGTTCAATGAGAACCAAATTCTACATACCAACCTACTTATGAAATCAAACCGTGCGATTCAACCAATTCAACAACAATTTGCACAATAATTGAAGAAAACTAGTATGAATCAATTTTCATTCATAAGGGATTTAATATAAACATTAAGAAAACCATAAAAGAACACCAACCATTTTGGGATTTTCGAAATTAACACAACAAGCACAAAAATGTAAATTTGAATTGAAACAACACTTTTACAAAGAAATTGGAGAAGAAAATGAAATTGACAAATATAGGGTTACCAATTGGAGATGAGATGAAATTGAAGAAAATTGGAGCTTGAAGAAACCGATAAACCTCTGGCCGGAGCTACTGCCGACCGCTCGCCGGAACTGATGCCGCCGCCGGTTCGCGTCTGCCGGCCGCCTGCCGCCGCGCCAGAGATGTCCGCCGGATTCCGCCATAGCAGCGGCCAAGCCGCTGCTTTATTCTCGTGTGTTTCCCCCCCTTCAATTGTTGCGATTTGCCTTCAATTTATAGAATGGAGGAGCCAAATTCTTCCGTTGATTTGTTGCCGTTGGAAAATTGAATGAGAAGCGAAGATGGAGGAGAGACGTTGGAGCGTTTTGAAGAAGACGAAGTCGCTGCGTGGAAGATGTCTGCGCTATTCTCCGTTTTTTTTTGTTGCTAGAGAGAAAATGAGAATGGATTGGATTGGATGCTTGATTCTTTTAATGTAGGATTTGGGCTTGGCCCAAATTTGATCTCTTCCTTTAAAACTTGGACTTCTAATTCGGCCTTTTGCTACATTTTTCTCCAAGCAATAAGATATCTGATAACTTAGGTTAGGAAAAATAAAATAAAATGTAAAAAGTGATTAAAAAACTACTATTTTTAAAAGAAAATAAAAAGATTATAAAAATGAGAATTAAAATGAAAACTAAGCTAAACTACTAAAAATTAAACTCTAAAAATATTAAAAAATGCCCAAAATTGGATAAAAAGTACTAACCCAAACCCGAGTTATCAAAAAGGCAAATAGGAATTGACAATTTTGGGACTTTGAAGTGCAGAGATGTACAATAATCGATTAGCGCCTTTAGATAATCGATTAACAGGATTTGGTTCCAAACCGGGAATGTTCAGAGACGCTCAATAGTCGATTAACACTGAAGAACAATCGATTAACAAGGCTTGCACAAAACTGGGTATTTTCAGAGGTCACAGATAATCGATTATTGGTTTGGAGATAATCGATTGTTGGAGGTTGCTAGTTTGTGACGAGGAATCAGAGGGATAGAATAGTCGATTATCAGTTGTGTATAATCGATTATTCAGGCTTTCAGGATCAAGATTGGGAAAGAAAGAGGGAAAGGCATTATTTGGGTAAAAAGGATTTGAAAAGAAACAAACAAAGGTTTTAAAAGATATCAAGAAACTAAGGTTTGACTTGTCTTCCTTTGATCTCATTTTGACCTGGAGTTAAAAATTGATGGGAAAGACTTTATTTTGAATTAAAGGAAAGAAAGAAGACTTTTGGATATGTTGGGGAGTTTGGGGTTCAGGTGGAGCCATCCAGGGGTACATCAGATGGTTTACGACGGGCGCGAGGTGGGAGGGTCCGAAGTGGGACGACTTGAGGAGGAGTGGAATTCGGTTGATCATCGTCGGAAGAGGACGGTGACGAATCTGGGATGGGCTGAAGCGACGGCAAAGAGGGAATGACCACTTCGTACGAGGTGGATGAGGAGTTAGGAGTCGGGACAGAGGGTGGGTCAGGCTTATAGACAGGGTGGAGATGGGGACACGTCGCCTGCAGAGGAGGAGGTGGCGAAAGGAAATACGGTTACATCAAAAGAAATATCTCGAGAATGGAACAAATGACGTGTCTCCATGTCGTATACGCGCTAGCCTTTGGTACCGGTGGGATACCCGAGGAACACACACTTAGTGCTCCGAGGGGCGAATTTATTTGGTGGACGCTGTATACGACAGACATAACATAGACACCCGAAAACCCGAAGGTGGCTAACATCCGGGGGTTTGGAGTTTAAAACATGGTATGGCGTTTTCCCCCCAAGTATTTTAGTAGCTGTACGATTTATAAGATAAACGGCAGTACGAACATACTCCCCCCAAAACTCGACGGGTAAAGATGATTGAAACATTAAAGAACGAGCGACATTGAGAACGTGACGATGTTTACGTTCGATATGCCTGTTTTGTTGAGGGGTGTTAACGAAAGAGGTCTGAACCGAGACGCCCAACTTGCGGTACAAGCATCGAAGTGGATTGTTCAGGAATTTGGTTCCATTGTCAGACTGAACAATTTTAATGGTTTTATGAAATTGAGTATGAACGAAGGAAAAGAATTTGGTCAAGCAGTTAGTGACTTCACTCTTATCAATGATCAAATAAACCCAAACAGCACGAGAATGATCATCCACTATAGTTAAGAAATAATGAGCACCAGTAAATAGACACGGAGAATAGGGACCCCACAAATCACAGTGAATTAAATCAAAAATAAAAACAAATGTCACAAGACTCAATCTTAAAGGAAACACAACGAGTTTGTGTTGAATAAAAACAAATGTCACAAGACTCAATCTTTTTAATTTCAGATGTAGATTTATTGAAATGAGGAAACGACAAAACAGTTGTAGACGGATGACCAAGTCTCTTGTGTAGCAGAGTAGCTTGGTCGACACTGAGGGCTGAAACAGTAGCAGAGGACTGGAAAACATAAACTTCGTTGCTAGGATTTGGGACGGGTTCCGTCCCGAGGATTTGGGAACAAACTTACCCATATTGTTCATCATCCAGGTCGAGAAGAAACATGTGAGTTTTCTCGTGTTCCACGCCCGCACGAATCCACGCGGTAGCCGCACACTTGCAAACGAACGTAGGGTCCTTGGTGCCATACAACTGGTTCCATAACATAATGAACTGATTGTAGTATGCCACAACGTATTGTCCCTTTTTTCAGAGATTTTGCATCTAGCTCGGTTTTCAACTGATGGACACGAGGCCCATTCAAACCACCATAACGAGACTTTAAATCCGACCACAACTCATGAGCAACCGAGTGAGACACGATGCTTGGTTGAACACACTCGTCAATAATGTTCAAAATCGAAGCACATATAATCAAGTTGTTCGATTCCCAAGCCGCATACTCA